ACCTGGCACTCGAGCTGCTGGAGCCTTGACCTGGCACTCGAGCTGCTGGAGCCTTGACCTGGCACTCGAGCTGCTGGAGCCTTGACCTGGCACTCGAGCTGCTGGAGCCTTGACCTGGCACTGGAGCTGCTGGAGCCTTGACCTGGCACTCGAGCTGCTGGAGCCTTGACCTGGCACTGGAGCTGCTGGAGCCTTGACCTCCGTACGTATTAGCGAGTGCATCAAAGGAAAGGTTGGGAATGTGTTCAAGAAGCACCGGAAGACTCGTCTGGGAGGGAGGGAACGGAAGCCTTTTCGGAGGAGGAGGAGGAGGAGGAGGAGGAGGAGGGGGGGGAGGAGGAGGAGGAGGAGGAGGAGGGGGGGAGGAGGGGGGGGCGGATGTTCATGAGATGGGGTGGGGGGGGTGGGCTGGTGTTCAGTTGTATCGATCATGGCGCCAGCAGCCAGGACCCGGGGGGAGGGGGGGTCTGCATCACTGTGCCCCCCGTGAACCATCCCAGGAGTGGTGCCACGCTCATCTTTATCCCGGGGAAGAGTGCCATTGGTGCCACTACCCAGGGAGCAGGCAGGCCCTGTCGTGATTCACGGCCCCACCAAGTGTATCTGGTGACGTCACTGCCATCCTCCGCCCACCGGCAGTGGCTCCCTACCCGCAGGGACACACGCATTTGGCGGAACACAACACTAACAAGAAAGAACACAGCTCTGCCCGGCTCTGCCCGGCTCTGCCCGGCTCTGCGCTCCTCTCCTTTTGCTTTCTCTGACAATTTACTGCAAATGTAATTCGAAGGAACTTATTTCCCACAGCTTGAAGCAGTTATGCTAAAGTCAGCGTCATCATGACGAGTTATCTTGAGGTTATCTTGAGATGGTTTCGGTGCTTAGCGTCCCCGCGGCCCGGTCCTCAACCAGGCCTCCTTTTTGTTACCCCCCCATCCTCCCAGGAAGTAGCCCGTAGCAGCTGTCTAACTCCCAGGCACCTATTTACTGCTAGTTAACAGGGGCACCAGGGTGAAAGAAACATTTTGCCAATTTGTCTCCGCCTCCACCGGGGATCGAACCCAGAACCTCAGGACTATGAATCCGAAGCGCTGTCCCCTCAGCTGTCAGGCTTGGGGGGGATGGTGTTGTAAAGCCAAGCAAGCACTGGGGCGCGTCCCCCCCCTCCGGGAGGCCGGACTGGTAAGTCTCCAGTAGAGTGCAAGCAGATATCTTTCCGGTTAATGGTATCCGACTGTGGTGTAGAGAGTGGTAAATGCTGTCCAATGACTCCTGAGTGACAGGCCAGGCTGAGTGACAGGCCAGGCTGAGTGACAGGCCAGGCCGCCCAGTGGCTCTGGGTGGCTGGCAACAAAAGTCTCTGCGGCAGGCAAGATATGCCATATAAAAAACAAACTCTGCCGGAGAGAAAAGATTGAATGGATAAAAAAAATAAGGTAATGAGAGGAAGATGAGATAAGGAGCCGGAAAATGGGGAGATAACAACACGGAGAGGAGAAAAATGGGTCTGGAGGAGCGAGAATGCGACAGGAATATCGTCGTGGAAGGAGGAAGATAGAGGAGCAGGAGGAAGATAAGTGAAGCAATATGCAATATATTTGAACGAGAGAGATGGAAGGACGCTCGTGTATTAGGGAGGAATTGGTCATATTTTTTTAGAATTTTCTAACTATTTTTGGTCTTGGTGCCCCAGTAGATTATTCTCCGTGGTTGTGGTGGGAGTTGTCTTATAATCATTACCGCCGTTACTAGCGGCACCAAATGTAACACTGAAGTTACCAGACAAAATGTGTTGTATTACTGGTGGCATAAGTAACATTAGTGGTAACGTTCCTCTGTGTTTGCCAAAGGGCACAATTCTGGCGAGGTTTGACCCGGGCGCTCCTAAGCATGCCATGTACCAGCGTGTGGTAGACACGGAGAAACCTTAACAGGAACCACATACAAAACGGTCCAAGTCGCACTATAGAACTGGGAGAAAAAAAGACGGGTGGTGGGGGTGTGGGGGTGTCCAGCGGGTGGTGGGGGTGGCCAGCGGGTGGTGTGGGGGGTGGCCAGCGGGTGGTGTGGGGGTGGCCAGCGGGTGGTGTGGGGGTGGCCAGCGGGTGGTGGGGGTGTGGGGTGGTGGGGGTGGCCACCGGGTGGTGTGGGGGTGGCCAGCGGGTGGTGTGGGGGTGGCCAGCGGGTGGTGGGGGTGGCCACCGGGTGGTGTGGGCGTGGCCACCGGGTGGTGTGGGGGTGGCCAGCGGGTGGTGGGCTTGTGGGGGTGGCCACCGGGTGGTGTGGGCGTGGCCACCGGGTGGTGTGGGGGTGGCCAGCGGGTGGTGGGCTTGTGGGGGTGGCCACCGGGTGGTGTGGGCGTGGCCACCGGGTGGTGTGGGGGTGGCCAGCGGGTGGTGGGGGGTGGCCAGCGGGTGGTGTGTGGGTGGCCAGCGGGTGGTGGGGGTGTGGGGGTGGCCAGCGGGTGGTGGGGGTGTGGGGGTGGCCAGCGGGTGGTGGGGGTGGCCACCGGGTGGTGTGGGGGTGGCCAGCGGGTGGTGAGGGTGTGGGGGTGGCCAGCGGGTGGTGAGGGTGTGGGGGTGGCCAGGGGGTGGTGGGGGTGTGGGGTGGCCAGCGAGTGGTGAGGGTGTGGGGGTGGCCAGGGGGTGGTGGGGGTGTGGGGGTGGCCAGCGGGTGGTGGGGGTGTGGGGGTGGCCAGCGGGTGGTGGGGGTGTGGGGGTGGCCAGTGGGTGGTGGGGGTGGCCAGCGGGTGGTGGGTGTGGGGTGAGCGGGGAGTGAACTTTCCTACTAGAGACGGAAGATCATGCACGGCCGCCCACATCGTGGCGCGTTTTATGAGTGTCAGTAAAAGTTAGGCTGCTCCTCCTCCCTTCCCTTACCCTCTGCCCTCCTTCCCTTCCCTTACCCTCCTTCCCTTCCCTTACCCTCCGCCCCCCCCCCCCCTTCCCTTACTCTCCGCCCCCCCCTTCCCTTACCCTCCGCCCCAACCTACACTTTACTCCACCCTTTTCTAATTTTTCTTATTTTTTTCGTACTTCTTCCCCTACTTCCTCCTCCACTTCCTCTTCCCCTTCCTCTTCCCCGACGCTCGCCACGATTGGCGGGTCGGAAGCGGGATAGAAAATGTTGTCGATATAACGTTGGGAGTTTGGCTGTGTGCCGTGATCCCGGTTAGTTTGTTTGTACTCGCTTGGTTGTGCCTGCAGCGTCGAACCTCGGCTCTTGGGTCCTGTCGCCGTTTGTGTAATGCCATGACACCCAACCTAAATTCCTGTCTTACGCTACTTTTAAATGTGTGTATGGCGTTGAGTTTACCTCGTGTACTTCATTCCATTTGTCTCTTGTTACGCTAAACTAGTAATTTTTCTCATCTCTCTGGTTCATGTGCGAGCGTAGGTGGTGTGGGGCCAGCCCAAGGTTCACTAGCTTTCTTGTTATTGTAGATTTGTTTATTGCAGAGTATCTATGTTTTGGTGAGGTATATAAATCTTTGATTGGGTGATAATTGATTAGTGGCATGACATTCTCCGCCAGCCAAGGTCTCCGTAGCTTAGCCAGCATGCCCGGGTGTTCCGGAGGCCGAACTGGCAGTCCAAACCCGCCACCACCAACCAACTGTGTGTACAGTTATATCATCTCATATTCCTGCTTCCTAGTTGGCTTCTTGGTGTGCTGGTGAGTGAATTATTTAGTACCTGTTGGTCATTTGGTCCAACATTGTGGTCACCGATTTCTTTTTAAACATACTAGGTAATTTGCATTTATTAATCAGCTACTGTAGACCACATGAAGGATTGCATTAAGGATTGCATATGATGCTAAAATGTCCTCATCTCTCAGGATGGTTAGTCATACAAGGGCATGTGAAAAGTAGTCTGCACTGGCAGACTCTTGAGTGCATTACGAGGATATCAACAACACAAGAGTGAATAAGGCAGTAGTGATACTAAAAGTCCCCATCTCGCAGGATGGTTAGTCATACAGGGCCATATGTTCAGTTGCCTACACTGGCAAATTTTTTTTTTTATTAACATATTAGGTACATCTGCATTAGTGCAGCTACCCTAGACTATATGAAGTGGAGTACAGTGTGTCAAAAAAGCTAACTAGGTGATGCAAAAAATCCCCATCACATAGGATGGTTAGTCATACAGAGGCATGTGATAAGCGGTCTGCACTGGCAGACTCCGGATGCATTTTGAGGATATCAACAACACAAGATTGAATAAGGTAGCAGTGGTAATACAAGTCCCCATCTCGCAGGATGGTTAGTCATACAGAGCCATGTGTTCAATAGCCTGCACTGGCAAATTTTGGGTATACTGTGAGGATATCTTCAAGAATACGAGAGTGAATAAAGTAATTGCAAAGCTCCAGGTACCTCATGCCAACTTTTGCCAATTTAACCGACGTGGATAAACTCTGCGGTCTACTGTCACGCTGTTTCAGTAAATCGGTGTGTAGGCGAGCAACTTACTCACGGGCAACATAGGAGCGTGGAGTTCTTCAGGGGTAGACCATACCTGGGGGAGCAGCAGCATGGTGCTTTGGGGAGAGACCATACCTGTAAGTGGTGCATGGCGTTTTTGGATAGAAATCTTCCCTGGAGGAGATGCATCATGTTACACGTTAGTGAATCTGCCTCGGAAAAATAACATTTGAGTACTTTTAAATACATTATACATAAAGATATGTCACAGGAAAGATCATTATTAGAGTAATTCCCATACTAATGTTTTTCCAGTATGCTCTCGTGGATTGAATCAACGCCCAGTATATACGCTATTATGCAGCATAAACGCTGTTACGCGTACGATTCTTTGCCGAATTAATGTACCAAGGCAAATGCTTCAGCCTTGATCCTGGCAAACGTATATTGGTAGTACTTTTGTATCCCTAGTGTATGCATTTAGTGTTACAGGCTTTTCTGCAGTAGAGAGGGGGTTTCCTGGAAACATTCGGAACTGAATTTGGTGTTAACTATTTTTTTTCCACGACAGAGTCTGGTTCACGTTCTGAAACACCGTCGGACGCTGACGGAGCCGGAGGTACGATACTACATGCGGCAACTGGCGGAGGGGGTGGCGTACGTCCACCAGCAGCAGGTGATACACAGGGACCTCAAGCTGGGCAACATGTTCCTTACTGAGGACATGCTCATGAAGATAGGAGACTTCGGCCTCGCCACCCGCGTCGACGACAACAGGAATGTGTGAGTAGTCTACACTTGCGTGCATGTGTCGCAGTAGTCGGCGTGCGTGCGTGAGGGAGGGAGGGAGGGGGGGTGTGGGTGGGTGTGGGAGAAATGACTGTGGACCTAGAGTTGCTTGGTATCTGTAACTTCCCAATGGTAAAGACTAATCATAATTCATCAATCATTTATGCTACCACTTACGAAACCTGTACATTTGTCAACCATTATGACCAGTTTGTTTACATTTATTCAGCAGTTTACGAGCTTGGAAATTTTACAACCCAAGGTTGTTATTGTTATTAAGAACCTCATGATGCTTCGGCGCTCATAAGCTATTTAATAAATGTAAATAAACTGGCCATAATTGTTGAAGGATTAAAAGTTTCGAAAGGGAAGGGAACTATGAGGAAAAAGCGCCAAGCCATTATGCCTATATAGCATTTGGATGGGATAAGGATTCCGGATGGGACGGAACGGGTAAGATGGAATGATGCCCAACCACTTGGACAGTCGGGAATTGAACGGCGACTTGCATGAAGCGAGACCGTCGCTCTACCGTCCAGCCCAAGTGATTGGGCACAGTTCCTTTCCCCCCCCCCTCCATCCCATCCCAAATCCTTATCCTGATTCCTTCCATGTGTTGTATAATCGTAATTGCTCGATGCTTTCTCCTGATAGTTCCCCTTCCCTTTCGAAACCTGTGATCTACCAAAGATTATGGCCAGTTTTATATTTATTAAACCATTTGAGCTCCGAAACACTACGAGGTTATTTATGACAACAATAAACTTGGGTTGTGAGTAAAATAACTTCCATGCTCGTAAGTGGTTACGACTGGAAAGAGGCTCCAGTATTCAATATTGAAGGTCCACTTTTAATGTTAATAAAAAATTTCCTTTAGGCCTACCTACTTGAGGGCATCCAGCTATAATCTCTGTAGAAATTATATCTTTTAAAGGCTGGATAAATACAAGTAACGGGCATTTCTACATTGATTTTATTTTATTAATGTAGATTTGATTGCCTCCTCCTCCTTACAGAACAATATGTGGCACTCCAAACTACATTGCACCAGAAGTACTAAACAAACTAGGACATTCATATGATGCAGATATCTGGGCCATGGGCTGCATTATGTAAGTTAATCATTTTCACTAAATGGCTAAAAATGTAGCTTCAGTAATCTGACAGTATTTATATTAACTCCAATATAGAGTGCAGTATTATCATAATTCTTTTGAATTAGACAGTAAAAAAAAATAATTGGGTTATTGCACTGTTAAGACGGCAGTTTAATCATTATATATATCAATTTACATTGTAGAAGAAAGCATTAATGAATTGTTTCAACTGTTGGGCAGGTATGCTCTTCTTGTGGGTCAGCCACCATTTGAAACGGATACACTGAAAGAGACGTATTCGCGGATTACCACCAACAAGTACGTAATTCCTCCACTCATCAGTGAACCTGCTAGACACCTCATTCGCCGGTTCCTCCACCCTGACCCAAACGCTCGTCCTCGGCTGGACCAAGTTCTCAACCACGAATTCTTCACCACAGGTATGCACATGATGAATTTGACTATGTATTATTAGCACATATAATCCTCCTCCTGAAGGAAGCCTTTTTTTCTCTCTGCAAGGAACTGATGATGTAATGTTTTATGAAAACACTTGTGCACAAGTGGTCTTTATGTTTTACATTCTGTTCTCTGTAAATAACCATCAAAGGTTTTACTTCATCGAAAATGCATAGTTCAAACACAACTTAATGAGCTCTGGGTTCTTGCCGCTTGCAGTTGCTATTTTATATGTTGGCTTCTTAACAATTTCTCTTGATGATTCTTGGCAAATAATGTATAATTAACATAATGTAGGCATATATAATTGGGAGACAAATTGAATATTTTAATTTATACAAAATCTATTTTTATGTAAAAATCAGTCACCATAGCAATAAAGGAAACAGTGCTGCCTATTTCATATCTAGTCATTTAAAAGTTTTGGGTAATTTAGTTTTTTTAAGTACATTACAGTAATTGTATCTAAATAATTTCCTGTACAGTTCCTATTAAAGGTATTATTTTCAGGTGTGGTGCCACGATCTCTCCCTGCTTCTGCTTGTACCCAGGTGCCAAAGTTTGGATTGGAAGTTATTGGTAAATCTATATCTATGCCTGAGCAGCAGCTGCAGCACCCACCTGCCCTACCCCAGTCACAATCTCATCACCCTCTCACTCAAGATATCAAGAAAATTACCACTTCGGTCTCAACACTGCGCATCCCTAATCAGAAGCCCCAGTCAGATAAAGTACGTAGCTACGTAAAGAAATATATATATTGATATCATAACAGTGAGACATTTTGCATTGGTAACTGTGAGGACACACTTTTTCCCTACTAAGGCATCTTCCCAGGTAGGGCATAAAGTTTGTGTCATTTTCACTATAGCTCTTGCCTTGTACATGTATTCAGAACTGCTTATTTATATAATTTTATAATACATCTTACTGTATATACATTATATAGGTAGGTTTGTAAGTGCGTGTGTGCATGCGTTTGCGCGGTGGGGAAGGGGCGGGGGGGGGGGGGGGGGTTATGTTCCTGTTGGACTAAGCTCTCACTGCTTGAGCTTGTGGAGTAGAACAACTCGCAGAGCTCCATCCAGGTGCAATCCAGGAGTGGGTGGGTGTTGGTTGAAGGGGGAGGGGGGAGTTAATTTCTTACGTGTAGTTACAGGATGAGCTGTGCCAGCACATCCTCCTGTTGTTTTGGTAGTACTTACAGTAATGATAAGGACCATAGTACATATACTGACATACAATGCAATTAGAAAGTAGTAATCGGTACTATTGAATTTGGACAAACTGGGAAAGATTTAATATTTATATTGCAAAGACAAAGTAACCTAACCTTCCTAGGCCTAATACACGACATCTGAGGCCTAATATAGTGCATGTGGGTGCTATACTAATAGTAGGTATCAATCAGTCTCAGGAGACCTAGGAATATACAGTATTGTATATATGTGTGTTTTGTTTTCTTTAAGCCATTTTTTTAAACAATAAAGTAAATAGTACAAAATTCTATCTAATTGCTTAGAATGTCAATCTTTGTACTATTGTGTACATAGCTACAAAAACTACTATCGAAACAGGAGGATGGTTGGCTGTGTCCTGTGATGTCCTGTCTTCCCCAGTACTCCTTGTCATATAACGCTTTGAAACTGCTGACGGTTTTATGTGTTTGTGTGCATTTTGTTTCATTCAGAAGAGTGAACATGAATCAAAAGTCCTGGAGTAGCTCGATAACCTTTCACAGAACGTTTCTTCGGGGTCACCGACAATTACTCTTGAAAGTTTTTTTGTCTGAGTTTTTTTTTCCATTTCATAGTTTACTTGAAGTACTGATGTACAGTATGCTTATGTTAAAGGATCTTGCTGTATTACTAGTCTCAAAATGTGATTATTTGTTAAAGAGGTCCATTTCCAGCTTGATTTGAGTTCAGTTACAGGAATTATGAGTTAGTTTTTTGGGATGAGGCAATGTTTGTGTGTTAACAATCTGGCAAAGGGAAACATTAAAATAATAAATATTTACAGATCTCTATTTTGGATGGTGGTCTGGGTAGTCCTCCAAATAGCAGACCAACTACTGGGAATTCCAAAGAAGAAAACAGGAAGAAAGATTCTGGAGGAACATTGTCATCATGTTTACGGCAGAAGTTGTCGTCTGTTATTTGTACAACAGATAATAAAGCTTCTACTGGGAACCAAGTGGGTAAAAAGAGAGAAATCACTTCTGGCACACTCTACAATCTTTTGGCTGCTTGTCTGGACAATATGCCAGATGGTGAGTTAATAAACAAACCTAATTATGCACACACAAGTAGACTCGCACTTGAAGGGCACTGTGTATAGTATACAGGTACTGTGAACTAAGCTTGGGCACCTAAGTGCTAAAATGAAATTAGGATCTGCTTAATATCTATCATTAATTATTATATGTAATTTGTTTAGTATTCTTTATTTACTGTATGCATGTTAGTGCAGTATATTTAGCAGCTGTGGAAGTTGACTTGTGAAAATTCCCTCAAGTTTTCTTCAAATTATAATTTAATAAAAGAAAAAAAATTGGGAAGTGTTCCTTTAATTCCGGAAGAATATTTGCTACTGGAAGATTGGTTAAAAGAATTTAAATGTTTGTGTAAAAATTGGTGTTAAAAAGATTTAAAAAAAAAAAAAAGAAATGTCAAGACAAATTTTATGTACAATCTTAATTTAACTATGAATACAGATATTGTCTTGAAACAACTTGTATAATATAGATCAGTGATGTATAAGTTTCCATATTTAGAAGTTATTTAAAAAGTAAAATGTTTGATATATACTTATTTTGTTAAGTATTTACATAAAGGTATACCATGACAGATTTAATGGATCCTTTTAATAAATTTTGTAATTTTCAGTAATAATTTCTAATCTTTATGGAGTGGGGTGAGGAGGCATTGGCTTTTGGATCAGGCAAATTAAGAAATGCTATTAGACAAGGAGGTATTTTGTGTTTGCTTGTGAAAGCCAAGATTTTTTAGTTTATCTAAATTTCAAAGAGAAAATAAACAAAATTAACAGTATTTCAGGGGTATAGTATTATAAGCTATAGTTTCATAACTTAAAGCGCTAACATATATTTTATCTATTTACTTATTTCAGATATGAGCAGTAATCCATCAGTCCAAAGTCATACCCCTCTGTTTATATCAAAGTGGATTGACTATTCCAACAAATATGGTTTTGGATATCAATTGTCAGACAACTGTGTTGGCGTTTTCTTCAACGATCTTACAAGAATAAGTATCAGTTCCGATAAAAAGTAAGACATTTTTATATATAATTACTATAGTACAGTACTGTATATTGTTGCGAATTAGTTTCATTGGATGAAATGAGTGTCAAATACCGCACATTTTAGATCTAACCGTCGTCTTTTCTATTTCAGCCGAGTTGAATTTACAGATTCCTCTGGAAGACTTGCTGTACATCAGGCAGGTACTTTGCCTGCGTGGCTGCAGGAACGATACCAACTGTTGCGTTATTTTGCTACATACATGGAGGAAAATCTAACCGAGGCTGGTGATTCTCGAACAACACGACCTGCAGCAGCAAGAATGTCTGTCATACCTCATGTGCGTCGATGGGATCGTACACCAAAGTCTATCATCATGCAACTTAGTAATGGGACTTTCCAGGTTTGTTTGTTTAAAGTTATGTACTTTCAATTGCATTGCATAACGAGAAGTTTGTAAAATAGTTCTGCTTGAATGGAAGCCACTCCATCAGAATTCTGGAAGCAATGAAAGAATTCCATTCTGTTCGTACAGTCATTTGTAGTGGTAAAGGACAAATGACTTCTAGTGGAGTGAACCTGTGCAATTGCTTTAGATACGAAAATGCTAATATGCATTGAATAAATTTGAAATGTAATAAAAGTGTGTACTTTTTCACAGTAATTTTTACATCAATGTGCACCGAAAGAAATAAAAATACAGTATTAAAATTCAGGTATAGAATAGCAATAAATAACAGTTAAATGCAATAGGAGTTTGTATTGGAATTTGTCTTAAATGCATTTTTCTTAGCAAGACTACATTGAACTGTGTTTTAATTTATTTGCTTATCAAAATGTACTATTTGGTGTAAAAATGATGAATGATGCTCATCTTTAATATTCTCTTTATAATTCTAAAAATCTTCTTACTATGATGCACTTTATGAAATGTTTTATTTCAGATTAACTTTTTCAAGGACCACACGAAGATAGTGATTGCTGGTGACCGCACAGATGTTAGCATTATGTTCATCAGCAGTGATAGGCAATCATTTACCTATCGTCTGTCTCAGCTTGCTGAGCTTGGCTGTGACGCAATGGTCCGTGAGCGCTTAGTTTATGCTCTCTCCTGCCTTCGGCAGTATGCAGAATTAGATGGAGAAGAAGTCTGAAGAGGAGAAATATTAGTTTCAGAGCTATTTTTTGGATATTTGATGGAAACTAGAATGGATTATAATTCTACTGGACCAAGTGAGAGAGAGATTGTCCTGACTCAAGACTGGGTGTCTTGGAATGTTGAAGTTTTGTGGAGATTGTGCATTACGGTGATGGTATTGAAAAGTTGATGTTTTTTTTTTTTTAATGAATTGTAAGACAATTCCTTCAGTTTAGTAGACAAGGGATTGTTTGCCATATGGTTGTGGCATTATTGAGACAGTACATATGTTGGTGGTGTGTAGTAATGAATTGGTTGCTACAGCATTTGGTAATGGAATATGAGCAGATTAGCAAACATGAGTCTCACCTTAGTATTCTTGACAGGCTTGTTCTCGTATTTTTTAGAGAGGAGAGTAAACTGTTAAGATATCATAAGGCTCATAGTTGCTGATTCTTTTAATGTGCAGGCTCCTTGAACTATGCAATAAATGTTTAAATTGTACATGTTTGTTATGCTGCACATAGGTTTTGTTACCATGTGACCATTATTTCTGTTACTGTTACATATTATTACACACCAATTGACTAAGATTTGGGAGCATGTAAGCTCTACCTCACAGTTTAATTGTGTCTGATCACTGCCCATGTTGATAGTCAAGGGCACAGGAAAGCCCTCATACCCTCATTCACAGTGTTCTGATGGTTAATCAAAGCTAACTTAACACTAAAGACTGTCAGGAGACTGTGAATGGGAAAAGACTTTTGCAATAACTTCCATTAATGTTGCCCCTCATATTTACCAAAGAGTTTAAAAGGGGTAAAGATAATAGTAGCTAGCATCATTTAACACCAAATTATTGTGGAGACTGGGGATCCCCCCCCTTCCCCTCCCCCCCACCTCTTGAAAGGTGTGAAAATTATTCTCATGTCTAAATGAAATTGCAATACTGTAGTGTGGTGGGTTGTGCTTGAGGATATTGTAAGATACCCCTCTCCTATTTTTTGTTTTTTTTTTTGCATTATGAATGTTTTGAAATTAGGGTAATTAGATACACAGATTAATCAAATTGACAGTGATCTCCTAAGCTAACACTGCTCAAAGATTAAAATAGAATGTGCATTCATGATGTGATTTTACAATTAATAACATTGTGCAATTCTAAGTGAATGCTCTTACTAGCATGCTCTTACTAGCAAGCATCAAGGAATCACGTCTTGCTCAGAACATGGACAATGTGATGCGGTCACATTCGGTGTTTACCAGTTTTAAATTTCAAAAGCAAATGCGTCTAAAACCCTTTATTTTTTTTTCTTTTGTCATCCCTGAAGCAAGTCCGTCCTTGTATGCTCTGCTTCAGTCAAGTGTGAATGTGTGGTAAAAGAAGTCTAATGTATATCTCCTGGAATTGGTGTGTCCATTGGGCTTAATTTATGGCTTATCAGAGATAACCTTATTGAATATTAAATCTTCACTTTTAGATCTTCTCCAAAGCATAATTGGTTTTAATTTTATTGATAACCGAATGGTTGCCATTAATTAAATTATTGGAGAACAGGAATATTATATATTGCTTTCTTTTTGCTATTTCTTCTGCCAATTAAAGATATAATTGTCACGCACAGGATGAGGCCTTTTCACAACCAAAGAGTGAATGGTTTATGCCGATGTTCCCTTTTTGGCTCAGGTTAACTATATTGTACCAAATATAATTTTTGAAAGTCAACTTCCCATACATTTTTGCAGTTGTGGCATAGCAAGTGATATTGGTGATAATATATACAAATTTGTTAGATTAAAGTCTCTAAACTGTGAATGTTGTTGGGAAGAGAGATAATTGCCAGTCAGAATTCATGGCATATGTCAATGATAAATCAAAGCTATCTTCCTGTCAACCTAGCAAAATATTTAGTACAAACCAAAAACCTTGGAATTAAATTCTTTTGAGGACATAAAATTTGTGTGTGATGCAGATAGCCTCTATAATGATCTCATATTTTTTAATCCAGCATTCTTAGGATATTTCCTTAATGTTGGAGGTAAGGCTGCTAAGAAAAGGGGGTGCAAATTCTTGAGTCATTCTTAGTACAATGTTTCATGCAGTTCACAGGAATGCAAGAAATGTTTAGCTGTCTTGTATAGTAGATTGGTAATTAGGTTGTTACAGCCACAAATTGACATAAGAATTTGCTTTAAGGAGTAAGTTATCCTTATTGCCCCTAGCAAGCAGCATAAATCTTAACATTATATTCTATTTGTAGGTATTTTTCATTTTCACTAGAGGTTTAAATCCTCCACTATCTGTCTTACCAAAGATGGCAGGATTTTGACCCTGCTTTTCACTTGAACACTGAGAAGGTAGACAAGCTTTTGTTTTGGAATATGAAAACAATGTATGTTGGGTGGACTTGATAAAGTCTAGACATTGTTGAAATCCTTTAATGTGTTCCAAAGGCACATGATGGAGGACACCATGGCATAGAAGTAGTGTACCAACTCATCAGCTTGAGGATATGTATTTAGTCTTACAGCTGATTAGGTAGTGTTCAGTGCCGTGGTATCCTCGGTGATGGTCACTGTCGAGTGAAGAACCTGGACTAGCTTATCATTGCACCCAAAAATTTGCCACCTTACTCAGTGGGGCGATGTGTAATAGGTAAAGCTTTAACAGCTTTTAACGATACATAAATATAGTGCACACAGATGAAGATGGTGTATCTAATCATTTTTCCTTGCTTTTTATTTAAGCATTGAAAGGGTTCATGCAGGTAAAGCAATACTTTCAACTTTGGCTAGTCTTTAAAAGTTTTTTGAAGTCATATTACTGATGACCGACAGTGCAGCTGTACGGCTGTTTTGTAAACAGAGCACCAGAGGCTGAAGAATGTTATTAGTGATGAAGTTTAACTGTAAAGCTAGCAAAGGAGTTGTGTGCCAAGAATAACTTTCACTTTTTGTTATATTAGCATTATGATTGTCTGTGATTCTGTTAATTTTGTATGTTTTGTTGTTTGTGATAATTTTGTGATTTTTTTTCTGTTTTTGTATGTATGCAAGTATGTATATATAGTTCATCATCAATTGATTTAATCGATGTGTTTTGTTGATCTGTGTTAAGTGTGTAGCGCTCAGGTCTTTCACAAGCTGATAGTAGCAAAGTGGTCTTCCTTAAATTATTTGTTCTGTTTGACATTGGTTTCAACTACCAAATCCTCCAAATTGGTGCCTTTATGTAATGTTTGCAGTGAAGGGCTGTCAACACCTTCACTGTACAAAGTCAATTTCTTTATAGTGCTCAAGCATATGTGGCACCTAGCAAGTGGAATCAGTATAAAGTAAAAAATGTCTTTTTGCATTGTTAAGGAAACTCATTATACTTCTTCTCATGTCTTATATTATTCAACTAAAGGAGAACAGTTTAACCAATGTATTAGTTACTGTTCAATTTTTTAATGCAGCATATAGCTCTTTAACAAACTAAAAAATATTAAAAAAAAAATTGCTCAGATTAATGTGGCCTATGAAATGGTGGCCATGGTTGACTATCGCCTGGCAGACTGAGTATTCAGACGCTCTAGATAGTGTGGATTCTCATAATTGTTACACATGCAGTTTGGGCCGTATGAAGCGAGATGTCTTCCATGCAACAGGACAATAACTTGGTTCACTTCCAATGGTTACAGACGGCTCTCCCGATCAGTAGTGGAAGCCTCTTCTACCATGATTAATGGTCTGTTAGTTCCAAGTAATTGTTTGAAGAGAGTTGTTAACCCTCAGGTATGAATGTTGTTTAAAGTGGACTTTTAAAAGTTTGGACCAAAGTTACTTGACCTTTACCTGAGAGGACAACTCCATATGTGTCCAGTGTAGTAAAGATTCCTTCCAGTATAGTACATGGAGTAATAAGCATTTACTCTCAGTCTAGATCATCAAATAATACTATCATCATATCTCTTCATAATTATATTTCATGGTCCCATATGTCATTATTGTGTAAGGCAACCAGCGCATGTAACACAAGAAGACCTAATGAGGTGAAGCATTAACTCGCCTTGGTCTAACATGTCCTATTCATTATTGCATTATTATTCTAAGTGGCCCACTCAAGACATGTAAATAAATTATACTAAGACATTAGGATTACAGAAGCAGTCATCTCTAATCTGTGCAGTACTATGGTGTATATTAAGCATCATCGACTCTCATGGTCTTTCATTTTTTGCAATTCTTGTTGTAAATTTACTTGCTTTGTTTGTAATAAAGAATCAGTAATATATTTTTTTGCTTTGCCTTGTATTAAGAGTACATTGTTGTAGGGGAGGCAGAGTATGAAAAAAGTGTATAGGGGCATGATTTTTCTAAGCTGTACACTGGAGTAAAAGCTATCGAAACCTAGACTTTACTTCCTTACTTTTAGTAATAATAATAATAATAATAATAATAATAAATTTATTCATAAGAAAGTACAATGGGCTGGTGAGATTACACAAGACTGGTATTTGTACATTCTTGCAAAGCTACTAACACACACAGCCGTAAATGCCAATACTCTGTTGAATTTTATAATCCAACTAGAAAAAATCATGGAAATGGTGGGACCTTTGAAAAGCCATCGGCTTTCTGTCCTTGTCGAGGCCACTAGCGTTTGTGGCCCTCAAGTGAATTCAGATAATATGGTGGATTCTCCGTTCTTAAGCTCTATGGCATGAATACTGGTATTTAATTTGTTCTATCTAATCACTGCTGCCAGCCTTGTGGGCTTTTCAGAGATACCCAACATGTCAGACTTCCATCTAGTAATGAGATGATATTGTTTTTACATCAAAGTCGATAAAAACCACTCGGTCATTAGTCTTTCTAGAAGTGGGTTTTGAGTTGACTGATTTAGTCCAATCTGAGCTAAGAATTTTCAGCTTCAGTAGGTACATGGAAGTGTGGGCTTCCGTCATGGGGAGTCTCCAGCCCTGGACTTGTGAAGAGACCGTTTCTCTGCAGCATCATTCTCTTACTCGTAGGCTGCTGCATCCACATGAACTTGCCTGTGCCAGGCAGAGTGATTCTCAGCAATGCTCTCCCAGCTTTCTGAATCTATGCCACAGTTCTTGAAGGAAGCCTTGAGGGTGTCCTTAAATCTCTTCTTTTGTCCTCCAAGAGAATGTTTTTTGTTTTAGTTCACCATAGACCAACAACATGGGCAGTCATTCATTGGGAATGTGTACATCATGGCCAGCCCATCCGAGTTGTGCTTTGCAAAGCATGGTGTGGACACTTGTTATACAAGCCTGTGTAAGAATACCTGTATCTGGCACTTTGTCCTGCTATCATACCTTAAGCAGCTTTTGCAGACAGCGTAAATGGAAATGGTTTAGCTTTTTCCATAGCAACTATAGACAGTCTAGATCTCAAGCCTAGAGGAGGGTGGGCAGGACAACCACCGAGTAGACTTTGTTTGGTATCGCCTTTAAATTTGGATGCCAGATACAGTACTTCCATCAAAATAATGATGGCCCTCAACTGTTCCTAGTAGGAGTCTTTTTGATTCTGGAATTATATTTTTGCATGGTGTTGAACTTTCTCCCAAGTAGTTGTCTTTCTGAAGATGAGGCCTCCATGCTTGGATACAATAATCCCAGTGGGGGAAGACCAGAGATTTATAGTTAAATAACCACCACCTGTATGGTTAAATGTTTGACTCCTTTTCATTGTAGTCAAATGTTTCTTTGACTGGTCCTAGGTTTGTTGGCATTTCCTTTTACTGCAGCTCCCACTTGCTGTGCAACTTTCAGTGATTGATGGATTCTAATTCTCAAGTCCTTTTCTTCATCAATCTGTTGCAATGTAATGTTGTTGACTTGGTGGTTGTGATGTTCACTGTTGTACCTCACATGCAAGGTCTTGCATGTTTCAGTATTAAAAAGCCTTTGCCAGTCCTACTATTTGTGGAGTTAATGTCGCTCTCTTTGTAAGGCCTTTATATTGCTTTTTACTTACTTCTTTACCATATATCTTTGTGTCATCTGCAGATTTGATGATGTGGTTTGTAATATTCTCATCTTATTGATGTACATAACAAAAAGGGTTGCCCCCAAAATGGACCCTTGTGGTACCCCACTCACATTTTTTAGTCAGATTAATTTTTGTTTAAAGACAACCCTTTGCTGTCTATGTTTTAACCATTGTTTTATCCATTCTAGTACAGTATTATACCCTTTATTCCATGTGCTTGTATTTTTTTCAGTCTTTCATTTAGTACCCTATCAAAAGCTTTTGTGAAGTCCATGTATACATACTACATCTACTGGAAGTCTTTTGTTTGAATAGCTGGTTACCATTTCCAAAAATGTAAGCAGGTTTGTGAGGCAGGACTTATTTTTAAGAAAACTATGATGTGTTGATTTTATTAGACAGCTCATGGTTAATGATTCCCTCTCCTTGGGATTCTATCCATGAGCTTGCATATGTGCGAGGTCAAACTGATTGGATGGTAGTTTTCTGCTGAGCTCTGCCTTTTTTTTTAAATAGGGGTGACATTTGCATATTTCCAATCTACAGGAACTATCCCTTGGGCCGGAAATTTTCTGAAAATGAGTTTGTGGTAGACACAGTTCATCTGCCAGTTTCTTTGACTGGATTGAATACCGTTCACACCTGTGGCTTTTGAATTTTCACTTATCAATGCTCTTTCTGATTACTGCTGATTACTCTGATTGCATGTTATGGGTGATTAGACACAGTTTAGTGGTTTTGATATTTATTTATTATAATAATATTATAATAAATATCAAAACCACTAATTATAAAAAATAAATATAAAAACCACTAAACTCTTTTGTGTCTAATCACCCAAATACATACACCCCGTACACGTAATCATACGTTACAGCTGACTATACATTTATATGACTATACATTTAGTATAGTCTTGTTACAACAGTCGGTTTGTTGTCAATGTAGTGAAGTGTTGTAGTAGTTGAGACGAAGCCTGGAGCAGGGCAGAGAGGAACTGATTGAGGGGCCAAGGGTGGAGAGCTCGGATGCGAGGTGAGGGTATATGATGACTTACTGTAAATATATAGCTCTTGAAACAGCTCTTTCTCTGTAACTAGCTTACTTTGTAACTATAAGGTGTGAAGGATAGATGAAATTGTTTATGAAATAATCTAAGATGAGGTCTGATAAAGACCTTTTGTGCCCTCTGTAATGCTTTTGCGATACCGCTCACAGGATGAGTATGGGGTGCACAATAAACTAGCCACCTTCAGCGGCAACAATAAAAAAAAATCAATAAAGCGTGGCACTCTGCAATCCGTCCTCACACTAGGCTGGTTAACACAGCAGCCGTCCTCCCAAGGCGCATTCATCAATTTTAACATACTGTATTAAAAATTGTTTTGTTCTCGTATATAAATTATTATTATTATGCATAAAAATTATATGTATAGTTAGGAGTAAGTTAGGCTAGGTGTTTAGGTTCTGTTTTTTTTTATTATTTGTATTTGAAGTACGTGGGTAAAGCTGTTATAGAATTGTGGTTCGAGCTGAGGACGTCAGCGAAGCATTGTTCGAGAAATGTTCGAACGTCATCACTTGTGAATCGTGTGTAAACGGCTTTTCATTCATAAACAGGGGGTTTTGCGGCTGGGTTAACCAGATTGGGCTTTTGTATATGAGGACGGGCTGCGCTATGAATGTGGACGGAGTCGAGGAGCTCGGTGCAGGACGAGAGCGTGCAAGTTCGATGCAACCCGAGTCTGGCTGTCTGCTCAGTGTCGAGGCTGAAGGGACTTGTGAGGGTAGGAACTGAACACGTCGAGTGTTACATTGTTGTTGGTGAAAGTTGAAGATGTGTGGTACTGTATTTCTCATGCGTGTGTACTGAACCACTCTTGGAGTTACTCTTTTCTGATCAGAAAATCGAAGATTCAAAATTAAGGGTAAGGAGAGGGCAGGGGATCATGACAGTGGATGGAGGAGAGGACCTAGTCCTTCACCCAGCCAGGCATAACTAGCCCTATACATATCGGACGACAAGCAGGCACAAAACCAGAGTGACATTGTACGGAATAATAATGTGGAGAATCTAGGAGCACTCTCTCAGCCCCCTAGAAGCAATGTTTATACTGCTTCTATACAATTGCCGGAAGCTTAGTAAGTTAAATCTGATGCACTGTATATATATCCATTAATGCCGAGACTCACATAGACTCACTCATTGAGAAGATATAATTGAAGGGAAATTCCGTCTTCCAAGATACCATCCACCTTTCAGAAAGGGCAGAACAGCAAGAGCAGGTAGTGTTATGCTATATGTAAAAAAATAAATAAAAGAGGACCTAAATGCAACCAACAAAGAGGAATTGAGCACGATATGGGGTCCTCAGAATTTGTATGGTGCAACTAACTCAAAATGGTAGTCAACTGCTACTGTGTTGCAGCAGCTGGTGGTGGTGTGGGTGTTACAGCAGCTGGTGGTGGTGTGGGTGTTGCAGCAGCTGGTGGTGGTGTGGGTGTTGCAGCAGCTGGTGTGGGTGTTGCAGCAGCTGGTGTGGGTGTTGCAGCAGCTGGTGTGGGTGTTTCAGCAGCTGGTGTGGGTGTTTCAGCAGCTGGTGTGGGTGTTTCAGCAGCTGGTGTGGGTGTTTCAGCAGCTGGTGTGGGTGTTTCAGCAGCTGGTGTGGGTGTTGCAGCAGCTGGTGCACACCTGTGTCTGTGCTGTAGAATACTTCCACTGTAACAGCAAGGGAAGTTACTGATCTGCTGCATAATGTGATCAATGCTGTATCGGAAACCCAAACCCCTATAATTGGGGACTTTAACCTCGAGACAATAGATTGGGTGAATCTGACAGCAAACGGAAGAACAATTTCTTTATTCAGGTGATGGACAATATAATTTCCTTATCCAGGTGAAGGATAATATGTTTTTTTTATCCAGGCGAAGGACAATATAAGGAGAAGAAACAGGTTGAAGTTGGAAACACAGATGAGCCAGAGAAATATAATGAAATGCTCGCATGAAGCGAGTAGTAAACGAATAAAATCACCTGACAACCATCATTTACAACTGCAAGAACATTTATCACGGAAGATAATCCATCTTGATAGCTATAACGCGGGGCTGTAGAACATAATCTCGCTCCCGGTAAACATTTGATAAGCGCTTCTCACTACACCTCACTATATTTACCATACTCTGCCATCCTCACTACACTATCCTCACAACTCGACTCATTCTCCTCATCGCTACCCTGTGTGTTGCCATGGGGCGACCCATTCCAGGCAATGTCGTCTACCCTGCAGGGGCCCAGGACAGGTACCTCACCCTACGCAGTCCGCCCACCTGCTCGTCAGACCCAGCGTGTCTGTGAGCCACAGAATGTCGGTATTCGTAGTGGGTCGGTGCATCGTGCGTAGGTTGACGAACAGTAATGTCGACATGGTTGATATTCTATGCAGTATGCGAGGGCAAAACTACAACATTTTGTGGGCATCAGTAACCTTTCCAGGCACGACGAGGTGCCAACGGGCTATTTATTGGTGTATTATACTACTTATTTTATTACTATGAAGTGAAACCACAACGACACAAATATTAACAAGCAAAACAATATGTTAAACCAATTTATGTTTTATATTAACTCAAAAAACGAAAGCGTCACGTCAGTTAAGAAAAAAGCCGCCTAGGTAACCGTGGCCAGCGGGTCTTCAGAACTTAACCAACCAGAAGTTGCTGGCCCCAGTCTCCCCTGACGCCTGTGTACCGCAGCACGCGTCTGCAACGTCCTGGAGTCTCGCCCCCGTCTCCCACAGCTCTGTAAAATGGTAAGTATACGCTAAGAGCCGCTCTACAACCCTTCGACCTACAAGAGAGCCGTAGTTACAACGGGAAACATTGCCTGAATGTGTTGTGACAGAAGAGAAAGTGTGTTATTGCGCCGTTCTCGGGTGATGGGAGATCTAGCTTTCACTTCCCTCCATTGAAATGAAAAGTTGTTGAGAGGGAGAGTCTTTTTCCGGGGATGTTTACTGCTCATGTGTCGTGTTGGAGCCTGGACTACGACCTGGGACTAATATACCCGCCATCAGACTACACTTTTATCACATAGTGTCGCTGAAGAGCCCAAACATTCAAGGTTGCTGAATCTGCATGAGCCCTTCCCTCAGGTGGCCGTAGGGATGCTGTAGCCGCCACCTGCAGCTGTGATCTCCTGTCACCTGATCATGATGCTCTCTCTCTCTACGTCAGATCACTTAGGACATATATTTCCTGTGTGTGAGAAGCCTTGGGTGACTCTGGGCGGAACTCACCTGTGACGTCATGGAGTGTGGGTGGAACACACCTGTATGGCGTCATTGAGTGGGCGGAATACACCTGCTACGTCACAGGACGGAACACCTGTGACGTCACAATGGACGGAGCATACCGGTGACGTCATTACTGTGTGACACTCATCCATAACGTCACGCTGGAATAATAACAGAGCTTGATGTGAGATTGACCTTCAAGGGAGTTGTTCACTAAATTATACCCTTCCTGTGTGACTCATCTGTTCCTGTGCCTCCCAAGTGTCCATATGTGTCCCAAGTATCCATATGTGTCCCAAGTGTCCCTATGTGTCCCAAGTGTCTCTATGTGTTCCATTCCTATTAAACAGGAAGTTACAAATTCTTGTTTATCAACATAGCATAAAAAATGCGGAAGATTGTGAGGACATGTTCATCAGCGTACAAATTTCGATGCTCTAGTGAAATTAAAACCGCAGCAATATTAACGTTTCCTCGAGCTAAGGAGCTACAGGCTAGGGACGTGGACTAGGTTCGAAAGCTTCTCGTTAGGCAAAAAGCACCAATTCTGACGCTTATGGTGAGAGCGGGAACGCTCCCGAGGCTACTAAACAACTTGCAAGTGAACAAATAATGGCGGAGGAGGAAAAAGTGTTGACACAGGAGTGTTGTAACTACACTTTCTCCTCCACACCTTGTGTATTTTGACCATTATAATGTAGCTACTTTAATGGAAATGGTTTCACAAGTGTCAACTATCAGGAGAAAGCGCCAAGCCATTACGACTATATGGCTCACAAGTCTCAAGCCTCCGAGGAAATATTTCAGCTGGAAGCGAGGTGTCAGTGGTGGGGGTGGGCAGAGGCAGACATGGGAGGCTGGTGGTGGGTGTGTCAGTGGTGGGGGTGGGCAGAGGCAGACATGGGAGGCTGGTGGTGGGTGTGTCAGTGGTGGAGGTGGGCAGAGGCAGACATGGGAGGCTGGTGGTGGGTGTGTCAGTGGTGGAGGTGGGCAGAGGCAGACATGGGAGGCAGGTGGTGGGTGTGTCAGTGGTGGAGGTGGGCAGAGGCAGACATGGGAGGCAGGTGGTGGGTGTGTCAGTGGTGGAGGTGGGCAGAGGCAGACATGGGAGGCAGGTGGAGGGTGTGCTAGGTCTTAGAGGTGCCGCCACACTCGGGTGCCTCCCAAGGTTCCGTCCTTGGCTTTCCTGCATTGCTATGTCTCGTTGAGGATTTGTGGTGAGCGTTACGGACGCAGACGCCGAAGGAGCCACGCAAGGTCCTATGAAACACGTCGCTCTCAGGCGGGACCAAAGCTGCACTGGTCGTCACGGTGTTCCGCTCGGGGTCCTCAGATCCCCGACCGGAACATAAGCCCTCAGATCTGGGCGTATATTTTCGCATTGTGGGAGTTAAAGGACCTGCCATTATGGATGCCCTTGCCCGAGTCTTAAGCTCCCACACTCGGGCACTAGGGCCCCCCACACACGGGCACTAGGGCCCCCACACTCGGGCACTAGGGCCCCCCACACACGGGCACTAGGGCCCCCAACACTCGGGCACTAATGCCCTCCACACTCGGGCACTAGGGGCCCCACACTCAGGCACTAGGGCCCCCCACACACGGGCACTAGGGCCCCCCACACTCGGGCACTAATGCCCCCCACACTCGGGCACTAGGGCCCCCACACTCGGGCACTAGGGCCCCCCACACTTGGGCACTAGGGCCCCCCACACTCGGGCACCAGGGCCCCCCACACTCGGGTACCAGGGCCCCCCACACTCGGGCCCCCCACACTCGGGCACCAGGGCCCCCCCACACTTGGGCACTAGGGCCCCCCACACTCGGGCACCAGGGCCCCCCACACTCGGGTACCAGGGCCCCCCACACTCGGGCACTAGGGCCCCCCACACTCGGGCACTAATGCCCCCCACACTCGGGCACTAGGGCCCCCACACTCGGGCACTAGGGCCCCCACACTCGGGCACTAGGGCCCCCCACACTTGGGCACTAGGGCCCCCCACACTCGGGCACCAGGGGCCCCCCCCACACTCGGGTACCAGGGCCCCCCACACTCGGGCACTAGGGCCCCCCACACTCGGGCACCAGGGCCCCCCCACACTTGGGCACTAGGGCCCCCCACACTCGGGCACCAGGGCCCCCCCACACTCGGGCACCAGGGCCCCCCACACTCGGGTACCAGGGCCCCCCACACTCGGGTACCAGGGCCCCCCACACTTGGGCACTAGGGCCCCCCACACTCGGGCACTAGGGCCCCCCCACACTCGGGTACCAGGGCCCCGAGGCCTGTCAGCGGTGATGTAATATAGAACGGGACTTTCAAATAGACAGTTCTGCGGCCTTGGATTGTTGTGTAGGTAGAGGTGTGGGTGTTGCAGCAGCTGGTGGTGGTGGTGGTGGTGGTGTGGGTGTTGCAGCAGCAGCAGCAGCTGGTGTGGGTGTTGCAGCAGCTGGTGTGGGTGTTGCAGCAGCTTGTGTGGGTGTTGCAGCAGCTTGTGTGAGTGTTGCAGCAGCTTGTGTGGGTGTTGAAGCAGCTGGTGTTGTGAGTGTTGCAGCAGCTGGTGGTGGTGGTGTTGTGAGTGTTGAAGCAGCTGGTGGTGGTGGTGTGGGTGTTGCATCAGCTGGTGTTGTGAGTGTTGCAGCAGCTGGTGGTTGTGGTGTTGTGAGCGTTGCAGCAGCTTGTGTTGTGGTGATACTACTGGTTTGCCTCAGGCGTTGATGTATTAAGAAACACCCGAGAATTACATTGTGTTCTCAAGGCTGCTCCCAGATTATTGGTTGAGCGTGGGAGTGTGTCTTTGTTGGTGTGGGAGTGTCTTTGTTTGATGTAGGTGTACAATATATGACAAAGATAATGTTATAAGATGTATTTGTTGTTCTCACTAAATGCACACAAGGGACTCTTCAAGGCATATTGGACATGTGTACACAGGAGACTCTTCAAGGCATATGTGGCCATGTGTACCATAAAGGCAACATATGCTTCAAGTCATATAATAATAATTAATAATAATTCATTGAGTGGGGGACAGGCAGCCATGCAGTGTATATCCACATGTTAGGCTTATATCAGGGTCCACCCCAGGGTCGAATTACTGTCCCTCCCCCGGGATGCAACCCCACAAGCTGACTACCATCTGGGTAGCTCCTGGGTACCATCTACTGATGGATGAACAGTGTCATTAGGTGATAGTAAAACCTCCTCTCTCCTCACCCAACAACTCGTCCTCGACTCAAGTCCATTACATCCAGCGGTCGACCCCACAGACGTATTCATAAACTTTTATATGCCGTTCATTCAAAACGAGAATGTTCTCATATAAATTAATATTATGATATATTATCATTGTGCATATATAGGCATAGGTTAGGTTAGGTTAACTGTTTAGGTTCTGTCGGCGATTATTTGTAGTACGTGGGTGAAGCATTTACAGCGTTGTGGTTCGAACAAAATGCGTCAGTGAAGCACTTGTTCCGGAAGTGTTCGAACGTTATCAGTTGTGAGTCGTGTGTAAACCGTTTTCGATCATAAACAGCTGGGGTTTTGGCGGATGCATGGAATCACTTTGGATCTTTGTTTGGAGGACGGGAGAATTTGCTGACAACTTTTGTTCGAGCCACAACGCTGTTAAATGCTTCATCCACGTACTACAAATACAAATAATCGCCGACAGAACCTAAACACTTAACCTAACCTAACCAATGCGGAACTGTGCACAGTATGCTAATATATATAACAATATTAATTTATATTTTAAAAAATTCCTATTTTGAATGAATAGCATGTTCAAATTGATGATTGCGTCTATGGTGTCGAGACTGCTGGATGGAATGGACTTGGTCTGAAGGCGGGTTGTCTATGGAAAGAAAAATAGTGTACCAACTTGTCCTACAAAGAACGTCGCTTTTCGCTCGTATGCGTTACATAAGGCCAAAAATTGTCGTACTAGAAAATGGAAGCGGCTGGCGAAAGTGACGTACTGTTCAGTTTTCTGTTTTGGGTCCTCTGGCAGGTTAGGAAAGGACACTTTAAACTGACCGTTTTCTTGACGATGGGAAGCCTTCGGAGGTCGGGCTGCGTGTAGAACAGTGAATACAAATTAATATATGTAGATTAGTGGAAAATGGAGAAGGCTCTACTTTTATGCTTAAGAGTTAATTGACCGTTTATATAAAGAAAATAACGTATGATAATTTTACGTATTGGCATTTGGCTGTCGAGGCAAACAACGTGACGTCATAACAACGTGACGTCATACCATACGCTCTCTCCATTGGTCTGCTCCTCAATCAACAACAACACACAAAACGTTTTTCACGCTAAAAATGGTTTATAAACATTTACATTTGTGATAATAGTTTACATAGTTTATACGATTAATGGTATCAAGACCTAATTACACCCCCAATATTTAGTACATAATTGTACGTGTATTATGAGGGTAACTCAATACTACAACAAAAGCGGCGTTGCCTTTTTGCAAGTGGCACCAAAGTGGGGGGAAAATGAACACTTTTTCTCGACTGTACACATGGCACTCTTAAATTCAACTCTATGATGTCGTGGGAGGTGATGACGCCAGGGAAGTGGAGTAGTTGAAATTGAACAAAAATGATTCGTCTGTTTTGATCTTTGAGAAGTTTTAAGTGTGGGTGGGAAATGGGCATACAGGTGTATGCTATGTGGTATATTATGGTATACTAGCGTGGTTCCCGGCGGTGCCCGGGTCTGTGTCCGTCTCCCATCTGTCTCTCCATCTAACCATACTTATAGAAGAGGAATCCGGCGGTGCCCGGGTGCCCTCTCCTCGTCCTTCCCACCCTTTCCCTCTCTCCCCTATCCCCTCGTCATGCCCACCCTCGCCCGCCCTCTATCCCCTCGTCATGCCCACCCTCGCCCGCCCTCTATCCCCTCGTCCTCCCCAACCTTCCCCCCTTCTCGCTCCTCCCCTCGTACTCCCCCCCCCTCTCTCTCTCTCCGCTAAACCCCTCTTTCAAAAAATATTAGATTAGGAGGGTACCCGGTATATTCTGTTTTTTCCCATCCTCTTCTCCTATCTTCCCCTTCCTCCCCTCCGTATCCCGTCCCTTCTTCCATTCTCTCACCACTTTTCTCCTCCCCCTCCCCTTTACACCCCACTCTCCCTCCTCCCCCTCCTCCCCTGCATCTTTACTCTCTCACTTACAGTATTACTAATAAAATGACTTTCACACAATATTATAGTTCCCTGCTCGAATTTGGGTGTTGGCTTTCAGTTTTCTATGAGTGGGAGGTGTGGCGGCAATTCAATTTCTTTATTATGCACCCCATACCCATCCCGTGGGCGGTGGTGGAAAGGGTTACAGAGGCACATAATCGGTTCAGAAACTGAAACCCCGAGTTTGTTTAACTAAGCAAATAACAATCTTTTGACGCTAGTTATACAATTATTAATGTTGCGGCAACATTCAACTTACGTGTGTTATCCGGGGACGGCCCGAATTATATCAGAAGTAGTCTGTTAATTTCCACGGCATCAGTGAATAATGAGGCATTTTACAAGACAAAATAATTGATATGAAGCTTTTTGTTTACAAAATATTAACAGGGTTAGCCGGCAGTCATTGCTAAACAATCGTTGTGGGGGTCTGAATGTGACCCTGACACGCTGATCCCTATCTGAATTCTGGCGAGTGTGAGTAGCCTATGTTCATCCCGGACCCCAGACCAGTCCCTCTGCCAATTTAGACGAGCCTAGCCCCCCAAGCATATAGCCTCCAACTTTGTACAAACATTCTCTCTTATAGATTATGGTATATTACCTTCAGGGTATACCAAGAGAGAGAATCTTTCTAGTTCGAAACACCGAATACATTAGCGGAATAAGTCAAAAGTAGCACTGGGTTGTGGAGTCTGGATTAATCATAAACTGATTTCTCCCTCAATAGATGGCGCGGGCAGTCCTAATACTGGCACTGGTGGCTGCGGCTGCCGCTGGTCCAATGAAGCTGTACGAGAAGTCTGAGAGCCATAAGTACCAACAAGGTAAGCACGACACTCTTCAATCCTGCTTTTGTAGTTCAGAAAAAGAGCATTTATTATTAGCTTTGAATCCTTTGTATAGTTCTTGATGTTCCTTGTTTTTCCTTTTCCTTATAGTACAGCAAAAGGTTCCTGTCTTGCTCGATAGGAAATCATACATATTTTGTCTTAAATCAAAGTTTTGATAGGTATGAATATCTCCATTGTTTCATCAAAGTTGATTAACCAATAATTTAGTTATAGAATTTGATATTTAACTAGATTTATTTTCACATATGGCGCCCGGATACGACACGAACAATTGCAAATTAACGGCAAAAATGTTCCCGAAAAGTTTATTGAAATGTTTTAGACCATGTAATGATATATAACTCTCTTAAGAATAAAGTTTCTATAAATCTAAATCAAAATTTGTTGTCTTGGTCAGGGAAGGTTGTTGTTGTTGTTGTTTCAGATTTTAGCTACTCAGAACGAAGTGTCCATGTAGCACGGGCTATGGCGAGCCCGTAAAAGATGTAGCTTTTGGGGGTGTAGCTCAGTGGTAGAGCATTCGACTGCAGGGAAGGTTTGGCTGAAGCCCTTTTATACCTCTGTATGGGGTGCACAGCCGCTCTCAGACTAGGTATGGGGGGTGCAATACCACTCATAGGATAGGCATGGAACCACTCATAGGATAGGCATGAGACCATTCATAGGATAAGCATTGAACCACTCACAGGGGTAAGTACTGGGTGCACGACCACTTACAGAGTGGGTATATTGGGTCAGTTACCACTCATAGGTTAGGTATGAAGTGCATCATAGATGAACTACAATAAAAGAAAAAGGTTTGGGTAGGAACAGGAGTTCACTGACATTCCGCTCCTCATCTTCCCTCCGCCCGCAGTCCTGGTGCCGGTGTCCTCCACGGTGATCCCGCTAGATGACCTGCCGGCCTACAGGGTCGGGGTCGGCATCGGGGTGGCTACGCCCACCACTCTCGCCAAACACAAGCCTGACGGCCCAATCAAGCTTATAACAAGTAAATACCAGGCATAATTTTTGCGTGTGTGTGTGTGTGTGTGTGTGTGTGTACTCACCTAATTGTACTCACCTAACTGTGCTTGCGGGGGTTGAGCTTTGGCTCTTTGGTCCCGCCTCTCAACTGTCAATCAACTGGTGTTCAGGTTCCTGAGCCTACTGGGCTCTATCATATCTACATTTGAAACTGTATGGAGTCAGCCTCCACCACATCACTTCCTAGTGCATTCCATTTATTAACTACTCTGACCAGAGTAGTGTGTGTGTGTGTGTGTGTGTGTGTGTGTGTGTGTGTGTGTGTGTGTGTGTGTGTGTGTGTGTTTGTGTGTATGGATGTTGATAGACATGTAAGTACTCTAATAGCTGTGCTTGCTTGGGGCGCTCATCAGTTTTAAGCTGTTGGATGAACAGGTCAGAGCCCTTTGAGCTCTATTATGTTTACATTTTATAATAATTTGTATTAATATTTATTATCATTATTTTTAAACTGTGTATGGGGGATACATAGCCTCCGCTTCTTTACCTCTTAATGTATTTCTCATTTTTTTTTTACTATTATGAGTCTGTAAAGAGGAATTATTATTTCAGTTACTCTATGCAGACGAGGAGTCACAATAACGTGGCTGAAATATGTTGACCAAACCACACACTAGAAAGTGAAGGGACGACGACGTTTCGGTCCGTCCTGGACCGTTCTCAAGTCGATTGTGAGAATGGTTCACAATCGACTTGAGAATTGTCCAGGACGAACCGAAACGTCGTCGTCCCTTCACTTTCTAGTGTGTGGTTTGGTCAACATTTCAGTTACTCAGTTGCGTACATTAATATTCTCACACCCTCATAGTTTCTTCTTAATAATGTCACTTTTCTCTTCTTTGTCAGTCCCCCATTCTTTGTGTCCGTTTTCTCTTCATGTCAAGTTTTCCCTTTTGTATGGGGGGGGGGTACTCTTTGCTAGTTTTCACTTTTTTTTTTTTTTTTTTTTTTTTTTTTTTTTTTTTTGAGATATATACAAGAGTTGTTACATTCTTGTACAGCCACTAGTACGCGTAGCGTTTCGGGCAAGTCCTTAATCCTAAGGGTCCCTGGAATACGATCCCCTGCCGCGAAGAATCGTTTTTTCATCCAAGTACACATTTTACTGTTGCGTTAAACAGAGGCTACAGTTAAGGAATTGCGCCCAGTAAATCCTCCCCGGCCAGGATACGAACCCATGACATAGCGCTCGCGGAACGCCAGGCGAGTGTCTTACCACTACACCACGGAAACTTATCCACGTTAGATTTTTCTTTTCTTTTTTTTTAATGCCAGTTTTCATTTCTTTGTCCCAAACGCCTCGTTTTGATTTCCACAAAATGCTCAAAGTTCAATATTTAGCCGTCGCTTCTACTCAAGGATGCTTCAGAGGAAAGTTTCCTGATGTCCGACTCATTCAAAGTGAATAACTGGTCACTTCTACCTTGTGAGCCTATTGACGTCCTGTCTTAGAACATGTATCATTGTTGCATGGCTCTTCTCTTCTTCCTTCCCATTCACCCCTTTATCTCTCTCTTCCCTCTCTGCTCTCCTCTAGATTCATCCAATCTCTGGTGTCTGTAGAAAAGACAAAAACGTTTCCCCTCGTGTCTTTTATTATGGATCTACTTCTCTAAGTTCTTCAATCTTCTTCAATCTACTTCTCTAAGTTCTCACATTTTTAGGGGGGTTCCAATTTCTTTTTATGAGACAAAATTAGTTTTTCTTGTTGTTGTCTAGTAAACAAAGTTCTCACCTTTGTTCTCGCACAGTTCACAGCCTCAAGAACAAGAACAAGGCTAAGAAGGACCCCAGTGCCGCCCACATCGAGGAGGTCACCCCTGAAGAGTACCGGACCCTCACGCAACAGTAAACAGACTCAGGCAACAGGAGACAGCCCCACTCAAAAGCAAGCATCACCTCACTCACGTCATCTGTTGGACACAAATAGAAGTGTACTCAGCACTCGCAATGTATTGGAATCAATCAAGCACTGAGTCAACACACCTGCAAATCCACACATGTTCCACCATATTCAAGCTCCAACACACTTATTCACTTATTCCACACCTAAGCATAGTCAACATATTAAGCTGTATTAATACATTATTTAGCACTACTAAGTCCTGCGGCGAAGGGATCCAAATCGAAGTTAAAACATTCGCATCGCAAGAAATTCAGAAGACAATCGACTTGACAATGGTCCAGGACGGAGCGAAACGTCTTCGTCTCTTCACTTTCTAGTGTGTGGTCTGGTCAGCAAATTCAGGATATTTTTATGTTCGCGGAAGAACATTAGCAATTAGGAAATTGTGATGATTGGTGGTCAAGTGGAGGTGGAGGAATGATTATTGGAATAGGGGCATAAGGTGCCACGGAGGCAAGGGTAAGGTAGGGCCCGGGGGGGGGGGCATAGGGAAGGTGAAGGTAAGGTCGGTTAGGGAAGGGCAAAGCTTTTAAGAAATCGCGAAACACTAACAGAATCTCCAATAATAATTAACTGCTTAACCCCACTTGAGGGTTGAGGGTTCCGAACCCGTGTTATTTCTAGATCTAATAGAAGAGTTGACCATAACTCTTGTGAAGAGAATACACCATAAGCGAGTTTATTTGTTAACACTTTCTGATCAAATACATTTTGCACCTCAACATAAATGAGAAAAAGAAGCACTAATATGTATTTAGACAATACGATAGATCAGTTACCTCCTCCGGATGTAAGGAGAGACGTGAACACTATATACCTACTTTATCCGAATATTACACCATTTCGTGTAGTCAATATTACCACAATCTTAGAAGGCGGTAAATCATCTTGACCGGATATGGTTAAGGATTTGAATGACTTTAATCCGGCTGGTGATCGGATCCCTCTTAACCCCAGCACCGTTATACTAACGCCTTGACATATACACTGAGAGGTGTATATATCCCCGCTTCTCGTTGGATATACTCTGAGTTGACTCGAGTCCAGAACTATATTCAGAACTAAAATATACCTACTGGTTGGTCAGTATGGTAACTTGGTAGTCCTAATAACCCTCTAGAGGTTGATAGGCCTGCGGTCCAACACGAGACCAACCAACTAACGCCAGATTAACGTGATAAATCTCGTCTGTCGTATGAGTATGCTGTAATATATATATATATACATATATACTTACTTTCACAGTAGCAGACCTCGCCGAAAGGAATTTAATTTTGCATTTTATGCAATATAGGAAAAACAGGAAAATATTAAAAAAAATGCTTAAAATCAAAAGCCCAGTTGTGTACAAATTTCGATAAGTGAATTACAAAGCTTCATACGAATAATTCGGATATGTGAAATAAAAATCCTTATATAGATAATTCAGATGTGTAAATATAAATTATATGGATAATTCGGATATGTGATTTAAAATACGACCTTATATGGATAATTCGGATAAATGATTTAAAAGACGACCTTATATGGATAATTCGGATATGTGAACTAAGAAGCTTTACACGGACAATTCGTGCCATGAGACGACACTAATATGTATATTTACTCTGTTGTATTATACTTTAAAAGTTTTATTCTCTCTAATGATAAATATATATATGTATACAATGTGTTTATTATTTTATTTGCCCCTTTTCTATAGAGCGAATGACACCGAAGATAAATTTGGAAGTTTGGGATGTATTTATACATAGTATGCAACAACGAGCACAAAAACATAGTATATGTATGCTATATGTTGTATAAAATACATTAGGTGCGGCTGTGACCGCTGTATCCAGGCTTAAGAGACCGCATCTTGATACATTTTGAGACCCATTTTGCAACTGGGTTGCAAAAAGTTGAACGAAGAGCGACATAAATCATCCCAGAACAGTCAACTCTGGTACGAAGGAAGGTTCAGGGCCTCAGGACTAGCAACTCTACAAACCAGACAAGACAGGGCTGATCTCATCGAGACCCTTTAAGCTACTCAACAGACTGGGAGACATGGTTGATTGATAAAGATTAAGCCAGCCAAGATGTTGTTATAGATTCAGCTACTCGGAACAAGTTCCAAGTAGCACGGGCTATGGTGAGCCCGTAGTGGACTTACCTGGCACAGGAGCGGGGCTGTGAGTCGCCAGCCAAGAGGTGGCACGGGCTTGAATAGCCCGTAAGGGAGACGTGAATCTAGCCCACTACTTATAAGGTCCAAAGTTGCGCGCGCGCACGCACACACACATACACACATACGCGCACGCTTTTCACCAATAGGGTACTAAACCCATGGAATCGCCTACCCGCTGAAGCCAGAAACACCAAGATTGTACTCTAATTAAAATTCAACTGGAAAAAAATTCTCAGGATTAATTGTATGTGTGGGGGGAGGGGGGGGGGGGTGGATCCGTGACAAGGTACCGGCTTCCAAGTCCCCGTCGAGGCCACTAGAGATGTTGGCCCTTAAATTCAGGCAAAATATGGCTGTTTATAGTGACCAACCTTGCCACCAGTTTCCTGCGTCCACAATCATGACCTTCTGTTTACCGGTCCACATGTTATAAACCCGTTTATTATCTTCCATTGTTCTCAACACGTCATCGCTCGTCCCAGTAATCCATTAGTTGCGTCTTTTCCTATCCCCCCCCCCCATCACTCATCCGTCCCTTCCTATCCCCCCCTTCCCCTCGATTTACTATTGATAAGCTTAGTCTACAATCAATTTCCTTCCTACTATCCGTTCCTTCTATGTCCTCCTATATAGCATCTATCGAATCCACCAACTATCCCCTCGTTTCCCCTCCGTTATGATTTCTTAAAATTATTACCACTAATTATATCCAAAACAGCTAGTGAAATAATATTAGAAGTGCTGCAAGCTTTTCTTTTGCGAAGGTAATTCAAGGGAAAAACTTTATTGCAACTAGCTGAAGTCACGAGTCAGATAAGGATAAGATAAGGAGGTAGTGATAGTGGAGTGATGGGGCCTGTGAAGGTGTCTGGGGGGCGCTCTTGTGATGTGTTGTGCAATGTGAGGTGTTGCGTGTTGGGTCGATATGCATGTGCAACAGTGGCAAGTGTTGATGCGTCGTGCATGTGCAACAGTTTCAAGTGTTGATGCGTCGTGCATGTGCAACAGTGCCAAGTGTTGATGCGTCGTGCATGTGCTACAAGTAAATACATTGTTTTTTGCGATAGGAAGACTTGAGTGCGGAGAGGCCCCGTGCTGGTATGGCGGAGTCAGGGACCCCAGCACGCACTCCTCCTTACAAAACTATCTTCGACAGGTACCACGAAGCTGTCAAGGTCGTGGCCCAGACAGAAATGTGCCGCGTGTTCCTCTGGCTGTACAAGGAAGATGGACAGCACGTTGGAGATTACCTGAAGCTCTTTCCAAAGTACTGGAATCGTCTCAACAAGGACCAGAAAGATCAGTTGGAAAAAAAGGATCCGCCGACCGCTATGGATATTTCGCTGTTATATTGCTTACTGCAATGGACGTGTGGCTTAGCAGGCGACACAGAGAAGATTTCGAATGACCCAAAGGACACAGACGCCGATAGTTTGGAACACTCGTTGTACCTGCTTAAGGAAGAACGAAATAATATAAGCCACATGACGCCGCAAGAGATGAAACGTATGTCTCACAACGAGCTTGACTCTAAATTGAATGACGTACATAAACTCTGTTGTAGGATTCTCACAGAAGCAGCCCGACGATGTGGGAGACACAGCGAACTCGTACGTTACACCGACGGTCTCAGTTCTAAGCTCCAAGAACTCAAAGTCACCTCACCTGAAGAGTTCGTTGAGCGAGCGAGGCAGGAAAGGCTGAGGATTCGGCGGGGGGAGGAGCAGGAAGGAGGGGATAGGCAGGAGAGTTGGTACCTGACGCCTATGTTGACCTGTCAGGGCGCTGACGTCCCTATGGCAGACCTCCTGAGGTGTCGTCGCGACCTCCCTTCCGTCATCCTGGTGAAGGGGGAGGCAGGGGTCGGCAAGACCTCTCTCTGCCAGTAAGTCGTTCATATCCTGACGCAAAAATTAACTATCAAGTGTAACTAATGTGTATGTTTCTCTGCCTCCTCTTCTACCTTGACCACCATACCTGCTCCCCTAATAAATTAATTATCTAGTTACCTGTAGAGTTCTCCTCATTTTAAGAAATTTGCAACTCATTAGTCAATAGTCCTAGCATACTCACACACAGAGATCACACTAACGTGATGCATCAAATGAACAAATCCACAAGGGCCGTGACGAGGATTCGAACCTGCGTCCGGGAGCATCCCAGACACTGCCTAGCATACTATTTAGTTTCATTCAGTGGTGCAGCACTGCCGGGGCTCACCCGAGCGGCTCTCCGGCACCTCTGCAAGTAGACGATGGAATAGAGTAAATTAGGGAGAGAGGACGAGGGGGAAGGGAGATGATGGCCTGTGGGTGATCGTGGTAGGAAAATATTAGTATTACATCACTAATAAGTTAATAATGTTATGATATTTCTTCGTTTTTTATAATTCAGTATTTATATTTTTATATATATTTAAAAAGTAAAGAGGTGGAATTGTACTGGTACGAATCTGGAAACATAATGCCCGTCGCACGTGAACACTTCCTGTCCATTTATGCCAGACAAACAGTATCAGACAAAGTTGCCAACCTATCGCTTTGGATACGAATATTTAGTGATAATGTTCATGGCTTTAGCAATAGTTCATTAGACACGTATTCTTTATTCATACAATAGTATATTTTAGTATTAAATACTAGGCAGGTAAAACTACAAAACTGCTACACACAACTTTACATAATTTAGTTAATTTTTTTGGGGTGGTTCTAGCGTCGTGTGAAATAAATTTGCTTGTATGTTTCAATGGCATAAATGGCATGGCAATCTTCTGTCCATGGAGGACAGAAGAAAATATATATATGTTGTTTAGCATTGTAAATGTGTGGCCACGTCTGTGGTAGAAAAAAAAATGGCATTAATAAAGTGGATGCTAGTGATCCGTGGATTTCTCTCTAATATAAAAACATTTTTTCTCATAAACATCCCCATTATGGCTTCTAAGCAAACAATGTTGACTTCCTTCTTGCGTAAACAAAATGAGGAGTGTAAGAAGAATAACGTACAGGAGACTGATAATGATAAGAGTGAGAGTGGCAAAAGTTGTGTTTCGACTGCTGCTAGTTCAAATTTTCAAACTGGATCCATGTGCATTCAGAAAGAAATAGTGCTTTGAAGTCTAACTTGTATCCCTGTTCAGGTGTTTGAACTGATGAAATGTGGAAGACAAAAAAGAAAACCTATCCATGGTTAGACTTCAGGGATGATAAACTTGGTTGTAAAGTATGTGCAAACATAAGCAATGTAACACTTTTCACTTCTAAGGGGTTTAAGACGTGTGACATATATAGAAACAGGATAGGAAATGACAGGCTTTTGTCCGGCCAACCAGAGCTCCGACACCTATAAAAATAGCACTACAGCCCCTGGACATTACGGGATCACCATAGCCTGTGCTACATGGAGACTTCGTTCTGAGTAGCTAAATCTGAAACAACAACAACAACCCCTGGACTTTCATTGATGTAAAAGTTCAGTAGAAGTAAAAAGATATGATAGCCTATCATATCACTTGCTGTTAGGCGCACCATTGTATTATGGGGAAGAATCCTTTGGCATGATGTGATACAAGAATACATAATGACGTAATGAATCGTTATATTGTCATTGGGAACGAGAACAATTCCAAATTACTTAGAAGATAACTTCATAGCATCCATGTTCGATTAATAAGTGACGTCACATGCAACACAGCCCAGTGAGATATAGTATCTGTATCTTCGTTGTATCGGTGTCTGAAATTAGTTGCGAGGTTCCATAAATTATATTGTAAAAAACAATGACTTACTGCTTAGATAACGAAATCTAAATAACTGGTCAAGGGTTAATGCCCATTAACATAATTACATTACTAAAACTCTGCTGAATTTAAAAATCCAGCTCGATAGTATCAACCGGACATATGGGGGGGGGGCCTTTGACAAGACCCGGCTTCTTGTCCTTATCGAAGCAGCTAGAGAGATAGCGGACTTCAGGTAAATACTGGTAAATACTCATTACCACATGCCTGCCTTACCCACACACTGATCATTGTGCTAAATAAAATTGACAAATTATTTTGAGACATTTGATTTTAGTTATCCCTATTTAAGTTGCATTTTCTATTATTACAATACACACAGAAAACGTAAATGTAAGGCTAACTATGTGCTTCAAATTTGTCATACATTTACCTGAAAGTCTACTAACACTAGTGGTCTCAACGAGAACAGGAAGCCGGCGGCCTGTCGAAGGTTCCCCCCCTTTGCCTTGAATTTTAATATATGATATGTATTAAAATTCAATATTAAAGATTAAATATATTAACAATTTTATTGATATTAGAATTCTATTGGTTTCTCATTTTGGCGGGGATATGAAGCCTTGGAAAGGCCAGCGAGCGACCTTTTCCGGGACACTCGCCTGGAGATCTTGTGACAAAAGATTATTGATGTGTGTATTTGTGTGGGTGATTAAATATGTATGTGTATGTATATATGTATACGTATATATATATATATATATATATATATATATATATATATATATATATATATATATATATATATATATATATATATATATATATATATATATATATATATATAGCCCAAAATTGGGCTACTTTCGCTACTTTGTAGCCCAAAATTGGGCTACTTTCGCTACTTTGTAGCCCAAAATTGGGCTACAAAGTAGCGAAAGTAGCCCAATTTTGGGCTATATATATATATATATATATATATATATATATATATATATATATATATATATATATATATATATATATATATATATATATATATATATATATACGTATACATATATACATACACATACATATTTAATCACCCACACAAATACACACATCAATAATCTTTTGGGCTACTTTGTAGCCCAAAATTGGGCTACTTTCGCTACTTTGTAGCCCAAAATTGGGCTACTTTCGCTACTTTGTAGCCCAAAATTGGGCTACAAAGTAGCGAAAGTAGCCCAATTTTGGGCTATATATATATATATATATATATATATATATATATATATATATATATATATATATATATATATATATATCTACTTTCGCTACTTTGTAGCCCAAAATTGGGCTACTTTCGCTACTTTGTAGCCCAAAATTGGGCTACTTTCGCTACTTTGTAGCCCAAAATTGGGCTACTTTCGCTACTTTGTAGCCCAAAATTGGGCTACTTTCGCTACTTTGTAGCCCAAAATTGGGCTACTTTCGCTACTTTGTAGCCCAAAATTGGGCTACTTTCGCTACTTTGTAGCCCAAAATTGGGCTACTTTCGCTACTTTGTAGCCCAAAATTGGGCTACTTTCGCTACTTTGTAGCCCAAAATTGGGCTACTTTCGCTACTTTGTAGCCCAAAATTGGGCTACTTTCGCTACTTTGTAGCCCAAAATTGGGCTACTTTCGCTACTTTGTAGCCCAAAATTGGGCTACTTTCGCTACTTTGTAGCCCAAAATTGGGCTACTTTCGCTACTTTGTAGCCCAAAATTGGGCTACTTTCGCTACTTTGTAGCCCAAAATTGGGCTACTTTCGCTACTTTGTAGCCCAAAATTGGGCTACTTTCGCTACTTTGTAGCCCAAAATTGGGCTACTTTCGCTACTTTGTAGCCCAAAATTGGGCTACTTTCGCTACTTTGTAGCCCAAAATTGGGCTACTTTCGCTACTTTGTAGCCCAAAATTGGGCTACTTTCGCTACTTTGTAGCCCAAAATTGGGCTACTTTCGCTACTTTGTAGCCCAAAATTGGGCTACTTTCGCTACTTTGTAGCCCAAAATTGGGCTACTTTCGCTACTTTGTAGCCCAAAATTGGGCTACTTTCGCTACTTTGTAGCCCAAAATTGGGCTACTTTCGCTACTTTGTAGCCCAAAATTGGGCTACTTTCGCTACTTTGTAGCCCAAAATTGGGCTACTTTCGCTACTTTGTAGCCCAAAATTGGGCTACTTTCGCTACTTTGTAGCCCAAAATTGGGCTACTTTCGCTACTTTGTAGCCCAAAATTGGGCTACTTTCGCTACTTTGTAGCCCAAAATTGGGCTACTTTCGCTACTTTTGTATTGGGCTACCAAAATTGGGCTACTTTCGCTACTTTGTAGCCCAAAATTGGGCTACTTTCGCTACTTTGTAGCCCAAAATTGGGCTACTTTCGCTACTTTGTAGCCCAAAATTGGGCTACTTTCGCTACTTTGTAGCCCAAAATTGGGCTACTTTCGCTACTTTGTAGCCCAAAATTGGGCTACTTTCGCTACTTTGTAGCCCAAAATTGGGCTACTTTCGCTACTTTGTAGCCCAAAATTGGGCTACTTTCGCTACTTTGTAGCCCAAAATTGGGCTACTTTCGCTACTTTCGCAAAACTACTTCGCTAGCCCAAAATTGGGCTACTTTCGCTACTTTGTAGCCCAAAATTGGGCTACTTTCGCTACTTTGTAGCCCAAAATTGGGCTACTTTCGCTACTTTGTAGCCCAAAATTGGGCTACTTTCGCTACTTTCGTAGCCCAAAATTGGGCTACTTTCGCTACTTTGTAGCCCAAAATTGGGCTACTTTCGCTACTTTGTAGCCCAAAATTGGGCTACTTTCGCTACTTTGTAGCCCAAAATTGGGCTACTTTCGCTACTTTGTAGCCCAAAATTGGGCTACTTTCGCTACTTTGTAGCCCAAAATTGGGCTACTTTCGCTACTTTGTAGCCCAAAATTGGGCTACTTTCGCTACTTTGTAGCCCAAAATTGGGCTACTTTCGCTACTTTGTAGCCCAAAATTGGGCTACTTTCGCTACTTTGTAGCCCAAAATTGGGCTACTTTCGCTACTTTGTAGCCCAAAATTGGGCTACTTTCGCTACTTTGTAGCCCAAAATTGGGCTACTTTCGCTACTTTGCTAC